GGGGGGGGGGGGGGGGGGTGTGGAGAGAGAGTAAGAATAAAACAGAATGTTGAAAAGGACCAAAAGAGACTTCATAAACATTCAAAGTAACAAGCTATCCTTCAGTCAATTTGAAGAACCCAATTAACAGTACACTAAATAGATCCCAGAGCGTGATGGAGTCAACCATAGAAATGCTTATCAAATGACAACACCAGCCCCAATACATTACCTGAGCAGGATGAGCTTGAATTGTTTCCATGACATACTTCTCGTGACCCCATTCTAGGTGGCGTCTAGCTCCAATTACTAAGGACATTTTCTTTGAAATATTATGTTGGAAAGCTGAATGATCTTCACCCATCAATGCCTATCATTAAGTTTGTTAATTGATAACCATTTGCAGATAGAAATCTAAACACCATAAGATTAAAAGAGAGATACAAAGTCAATTTTGCCACCATACCGACATTAGATGCCAGATCTTCTGAATGCCAACTGACTTCCCACCATATGCATTGAGACCCAAACTCTCAAGAGCATGCTTAAAAGCTGTAGCAGGCTAACAATAATAACAACTAATTAACCAAATACAAAAACTCAGTATGAATATTCTTTAAAGTGATTAAGAAGACCATCCAATCAACATAGTGAAACATCAAATGAACACCAAGAGGAGGCTACCAAATAAAGAGGCCAAAGTGATAGTATGCATAAATTCTTAATTTGAATTATCAAGTATTAAACTTTATCTAGCTAGTGTCCAACAGCAATATGCAAATACTCCCTCTGTCCCAAAAAGGAAAGACGGGAATTGGTGAACCGCGGTCAAAGTATGTCATTTTATATGTTCATTTGAGCATCAATTCCTTAATTTTTTAAATAAATAGATCTTTTTAGAGATAACGTAAAAACTACCATACATCAAATTTGCTGTATTTAAAAGTACTTTGATATGTGTGGAAAAAACAATTAACCAAAAAACTATGGCTATTCAAATAGTAACAACATCATCATATGAAGCAGGGACAAGCAGAGCATATCATTTTTTCTTTTTTGATGAGCAGGCAGAGAGTATCACATTGTGTCTTGTGCACTACGGTATTTCAATCTTGTCTGTGTTTTTCGCCTTTCTTGCATGCTTTTTTCTTATATAGTACTTTATTTGTCCAAGAAAACTACAACATAAGCGATTCAAGTACATTTTTCCCTTTGACTTTTGTTAGATGACTGGACAGAATTCTTAGAATCCAAATACTTTGCAACCATTCCATTTCAAGTCCCCACGTCACAACCTTCATGTTCTTTTAAAAGCGTAACAATTGGAATCTTAGTCCTCTAATTACATAATAAAGCAATACCAGATATAATCACAAAAACTAAATAGAAGAAATACACTGGCTTCACAGGAAGGAGGAACCAAGACGGGGAACTTACTTTGAAGGGAAAACTACGCTCTCTTGCACTATTGAGATTCTTGACAACTTCTCCATATGCAGCAGCCTTTTTCTCAACGATGGGCCTATTGGCCAATGGTACAGACTCCACACTAGCTGGACCAGAAGAAATCTGAGGGCTATAAGTCAAAGATGCTATTTGCCCCTGACGACCACCTAAAGGGCTTGATTCACTGATATTGGTCCTGGGTAAGGTTGAAATTCGGCTTAGGCTCTGGAGGAAGTCCCTTTTTTCCTTCTTCCAGTCGTTCTGTAACAAAGTCCACAATGCAACAAGACTTTAAAATAAGCATAAAAAAACAAAGGAACCAAATAGATGCATATCAAACTCTAGACGGAAAAGAAATATAATAAAAGTAATTGATGGCCTTTTCAGTCGAACTCAAGCAGCTAATGAATGATTCTGATAAGAATCAAAAGATGTTAGCAACTCACACCACGAAGAAGATAACCATATGGAAAGCAGCGGGGGAACTAACCTCCAAAACTTTCATCATGTAATCATTGAAATTTTTTAGGTTATCCTTCTGAGCTTCTTGAACCGCAGAGACCATTGCCATTTCATGGATCTGTTTTGCAGTATTCCAAGATTACAACATCAAACATTATTATCCTTTATCAAATGAAGTAAAATAGAGCAATGCACAAAATATGATGATGCAATTGGATATTATGAAAGTATCAAACTGACAAAGAAAGAAAGATCAAGCAGCAGAAAAGGATATGAGATATCCTGAGACGATGATGCATTTCAAGCGAAGCAGAAGGTCACCCATTGAGAATGCTGAAATTTATTCCTTTACTCATTTCTGGGAGGGAGAGAAAACAGCACTAGGCAGAGAATATCCATTTTGAAAGAACTTAATTTGGATTGCGAATACTACTCCTGAGCACACTACGCAAAAAGGTCTTGCAAAACACACAAAAGCAATTTGTGGCTTTTACAAGTACCTTACAACTCCTAAAATCAACAATTAGAAAAACTACAACTATAAGAACAATCTCTCTTTGGTTGCAGGATCTCCTGATCGGGGGAAGAGTGTTAAAATCATTTTAATACATCAAATTCTTATCATTGATATCGCGTCAAGGTAGTACCAAAATTATTGCAATGTGAAGAAGTGGCTCAACAATCATCTTCTAACACGTTGCACCAAACATCTATGCATACAGGCATTTCTCCTTACATCAAATGAAAATATGAAAGAGAAATGACTTTACAACACTGCTAGTTTGAAATCCCTCTCTCCCCCAGGAATATTCCCCCTTAACACCACTAGTCGTTCCAAAATAATGGACTAAGGTATCATTGGTTGTCACTCTAACAAAGTATCATTCCCTTGTATTCGATGATATCATCTTTCATCTCCACTCCCTCAAGATCACCATTCTCCCTTCTCCAATTCCCATCCAGCTCATGCAGTCTGACTTTGCTTCTCAATAGGAATGTTAATATTGAACCTAGTTACTGTAACAAAGTATCAGTCTCCTGTATTCGATGATATCATTTCTCATCTCCAATCCCTCAACGTCACCATTTTCCCTTCTCCAATTCTCATCAAGCTCATGCAGCCTCACCTTGCCTCTCAATAGGAATGTTGAAATTGAAACCTAGATAAATGATTTCTTTATTCGACTCAATGCACACATGTCGAACTGATCTGACATGGGTAAAGGTACTTCGTGCAGATTCATCGAAAATACACATTCAATTAGAAAAAAATTGCAGGTATGCACAGCTGATACCTAAGCACACCCATATCAGTTACATGCCCTTGAAAGAGAACATGTAACATATACCAAAACAAGGAAAGACAAAAACAGAACAGTTTCCACATGCTTTCATCCTTCGAATATCCTATGTCCTTCAATTACACTTTAACTCTTCACTATCGAAAGTGTTGTTAGTTAAAAGATTTGGGATTTTCAAGTGCACAGAAGAGTTGTATAAAAAGTGCATTGAAGAGTGACAATGCTGACACCAATGAGACATAACGGCTGGCCCTACCAGACAACTGCATTCTTATACTTGCTTTGTTGTCAAATGGTCTTTCTGATATCCTAAACTTTTTGCTTGACCCTTCAGGAACATCCGACAAAATTGAAACAACCAATGAGCACAAAGTGATCAATGACTGGTAAAAATCTAAATACTATTGCAGCCGATACTTCTTCATGTTGAACTCCAGTCTGTTTTAGTATAGTTGAAGTCCACTTATTAGCTTATGCTATTAAAATGCATGCGCCAAATCTTGTTCTGAGACCCTTAGTATGAGTTTAAACCAAGCATCTCAAATTGAAGCCAAACAATATTCTCGCACACCCCACTCAATTACACTACTACATCTAGGAAATATCTTACCTTTCACATATCATGTGAGCCATTAACAAGGATATAAGGACACCTACAAGCAAAGGCATGTCCAAGCTAATTCTTCTTTCCTTTTCATTACCTATATCCATATCACCACTTGTTCATGATGCTTCTATATTTCACCTCTAGACGCTACCTTGCCAGCTAAGTTATCCTATGTGAATCTGCTCTTTTTTAATCCTTACGGTTCTAACAATACTACTTGTGTCGCCGTCTCATTGTCCAAGGCACGAGTGCCTCGGCTAACTTGTGGCGCTTCTCTTTTGGATCCCGTCCATGCGCGCACCCGGGTTTCGCTCCAGGCATGTCTGTCCCTCGCCTAACACTGAGCATGGCTCTCGCGTGCACAGTCCAATCCTCAAGCTTGACACTCGCCTCGTGCATCCGCACCCAGCTTGTGCTTAGCCCGAGTAAGGCAACCTTCAATCCTTAGCCCTTGTCATAAGCGTCTTTCATTGCACGCCCGACATACTTCCGTCCCGCATAGTGCAGCGTCGCCCCGCAACTGCACGTCTAGGCCAACAGACCCCTGCTCGCATAGCTGAACCCAAGCTATGCTCACAAGTCGACACATGATGCCCCAAGATAGGTGCGTCAAGTGTCCAATCGGCACTGAGGCATTCGTCCAACATTTCGACAGCACGCGGGGCTAAGTCATCCCACGCGTCAAGCCTCCAATACCCGTTTGGTGCCCAACGCTAGCCCGAAGGCATAGCGTCGTCCATAGAGTTCCCAAACTCGTATGGATACCCAAGGCATTCCTTTGAGATGTCAGGGCAGGCCCTTGACATGCAGTTGCAGGGCGATGCTGCACTATGCTGGACGGAAGTATGTCAGGCGTGCAATGAAAGACGCTTATGACAAGGGCCAAGGATTGAAGTTGCCTTGGGCTAAGCACATGTCGGGTGCGGATGCACGAGGCAAGTGTCAGCTTGAGGATTAGATTTTGCACGCGAGAGCGATGCTCAGTGTCATGCGGGCACCTTTGACCCGTGCGGCGCCCGCAGGACCTCGTCCTGACGGGCCAGCCTACTTACTTGCCCAGGATATTCTAGCACGATCTAATGCCAGTGGGGGAGCTCGCTCCGAGGCTCGCTCCTACTTGTGCCGCCGTCTCATTGGCCGAGGCACGAGTGCCTCGGCTAACTTGTGGCGCTTCTCGTTTGGATCCCGTCCGTGCGCGCACCCGGGTTTGGCTCCAGACATGTCTGTCCCTTGCCTGACACTGAGCATCACTCTCGCGTGCATAGTCTAATCCTCAAGCATGACACTCGCCTCGTGCATCCGCACCCAGCTTGTGCTTAGCCCGAGTAAGGCAACCTTCAATCCTTGGCCCTTGTCATAAGCGTCTCTCATTGAACGCCCGACATACTTCCGTCCCGCATAGTGCAGCGTCGCCCCACAACTGCACGTCTAGGCCAACGGACACCTGCTCGCATAGCTGAACCCAAGCTATGCTCACAAGTCAACACATGATGCCCCACGATAGGTGTGTCAAGTGTCCAATCGGCACTGAGGCATTCGTCCAACATTTCGGCAGCACGCGGGGCTAAGTCATCCCACGCCACGCGTCAAGCCTCCAGTACCCGTTTGGTGCCCAACACTAGCCCGAAGGCATAGCGCCGTCCATAGAGTTCCCAAACTCGTATGGATACCCAAGACATTCCTTTGAGATGTCAGGACAGGCCCTTGAGGTTCCCCCTCAAGGTGGCTCACTTAGGTGCGGCTGCTTCACAGCACGCACGGGGGAGGCAGGCTGAGCTTTCAACACCTATATCCCGCTTATATGTGCTTAAAATAAAAAAGCCCAAGACTCCTGAGTTGACTTCTCTGGTTAGAGCGTCAGGCTGGAACTTTCTCGATCATTCGAACTCCGAATAAGGCGCCATCCGTTCATAAAGCTTTCCCTTGACTTCCTTCACACTTCCATGAAGTTACACTCCATTCCCATACTTGTGGAAATGGCTATACCTTTGGACACAAAGGCATATTGCCACAATGCCACTGGTCCTCGGCTAAGTCAAGCCCATAGGTAAACATTCTCCAAATGACACCAAACTTGGTCAGCATATATAAGGGCATACTAGGAACATGGCACACAACCAAAATCCCTAGATTCCCGTCATAACTCGGCACTTTTAGGACGTGCAGCACAACATGTCTATATGGTTGTTGCCTCATGCATAATCCCTCTGCCTGATGGTTCTTTACACTTGCATTGCCAGCACACGTCGCCTACGTGACTGACACTCGTCCTGCAGCACTGTAGCGCCCAGGACTTTAGATGCCTGCACTCCCAAAATGCGGGGTGTGACAAGGCTCCCATACTCACCATGTCATCGTCCCCGATGACACAACAATGCCCAGACAATCCGAAGTCTGCCCCCTCGGGGATCACCGCGGCTCCCTTAGTCCAGTGGGGGACTTCCTCGAAGTCCATCTCAAAATTAAGTCGTGCCCCTTGCACTTCTCCCCCAAGTATTTCCAAGCGTGCCATCTGCACTTCGCCTCCTGTCGGTGTCCGCTTGGAAAGTGCCTCCGCACTTGCACCCTCTGGTGTCTAACTTTGTGGTGACGCACACTCACCAAGCACACCATGATCCTCACGGCCTTGGTCCTGTCCGAAGCTCTTCCCACAATGGTAAGCACACCAACGTGCTTTCATGACGCAACTCCCCCAGTTCGACAACTTGCGTAGCCTTATAGCTCCCGTGGCTCAACAGCACACCAAGCTCTTACGCGCCCTCAGGCGGAACTCACGTAGCACAGTCGCTCACGTAGTCTATACCTCACCCTCGTACCATGGAAGACTCTTGCTCCCGTACTCGAAATTTCCGCCTCAATGCCTTTCGCATCGGCGAGTCCTCCCACACTCAATGTGGAGGACGCATCTTAACGTACCTGTCCCAATTAGCTCATGGGACCTACTCTCGGTGAGTATTGCATTCTCAAAGTATTAGCATCGCCACATTCAGGAACAAAGCTCTCTGTTTTCCAACTGTCACTTCCTCAGCAAGTACCCAATGCTCCCAATAGTAACTTTGTACTCGCCCTATAGACAAGACTCTCTTGGTCTTGCTAGCCCGGCTTCCCGGTTCGGTGTCCCTCGCACATGACCCCAAATCATTTGGTCCTCGATCATCGCTATACCCCTTTCCAGAAAGACATCTTCTAACATGGAAATCCGCTCGATTA